TCGCTGACTTGGTTGATGCATGTCATCGTATCCCAAATGCGTAGATCGGTGCTCTTGATGATAATGACTAAATGTTTGGTCCAGACTGGATTATTTACGAACCACCGTCATAGAGCTGGTATATTGCTGAGTGCGGCGTTAAACAACAAACAATCAAACAAAATCTATATAATTATTAAACACCTTCCAACAATGAGAAATTAAACTTATATTTTCTAAATATTCTGTTATTTTTATAACATAATTTGATTCATAATTAAATTATTGCGTTGCTTTCTTCCCTGTCATTCAATGTGCATGTTCAAACCCCTAAACTTTTAATATTTCATTTTTCATAAATGGCTACGTTAGTGCGTTGCCTAGATCTCTCGTTACCTACTCACAAGAATAGATTAAAATAATTTGTTTTACAATCATATTTCTGTTTATCTAATTCATAATACGAAATTGATAATTCATATATAATAGTATAGATCATATTCGTGTATATCACTATCTGATGCTAAGGTTTTATTTCAGAAAATATAATTAATTCAAAATGTAGAAAAATACACAATTTGCCATTATTTGACTTTTAAACTGTACAAAGTATGATATAATGATCAGAATACCTGTAACGGGTAGTATTTAAGAAAGAAATATTTGTCGAGAAGTCCCATTTTTCAGATATGCCCTTCAGTAGTATTATTGCATATCTCCAGAGAGAGGTTTACATTGTAGTTCTCATTATTTGTGGATAATTAAAAAAGCAACATAGAAAATATATATGCTACCATGACGAAATAATACAGAGTATACATAACTCGCAATTCTATATATTCAGCAAACAGCCCAAAACCGAAACTCCACAACATATCCGATTACACTGATTAAGGCTGTCCCAGTTCTCCATGCGATACTGACGCCCGTTCGTCTCCCAGACCATACAGAATAAATTTAAAAGGAATCCAGCTCAAGTCTAGAACGATTTGGCAAGCCTAGATTGCCTTAATTCTATCCATGAAAGTAAGCATTAATAAAAAAAAAATATTGTTCTTGTCTGCTTCAGATTATATTTTGTAGATACTTATTTTAACTAGGAAAATTGTACTGACACCGACGCGGTCCCTATTGAAGCTATCCATAAGAATTTCGAATTGCCGTCCATTGTTCGATGTCAATACATCGATGACAAGTGAGGATATCATAAAGTAATCGTTGATGCCGCGCTACACTTTGATAAAAATTATAATCAAGTTGACTGGTGTGTACATTACTACAGTGAACATGTACATGATCATGCCCTAATAATCAAATGCCGTAATGTCAAATACTAATGTATTATTGTGTGATGAATTTAACTGGATCAGTGGTTACATGTGATATTAATATTCCATCAATTTCTTTCCTGGTTGGTCCATCCATGTCTACAAAATGAAAATAATACAATTAAAATGGAGCATAGAACAATTCTTAATTTCAGGCTAGAGCTAGGGAAATCAAGACTTTCACAATCATTATAGACTTGAGTTGGTCTCATGTTTTACATTATTCTCTTGGGTCAACGTCACAGCTCATACCATACACTAACAAGACCAGCTTGCCCCCCGCCGCAGCGCCTGGATTTTGGTTATATCATCTAACATGGCCAACTCTGCTCTTAAGTAAACAAGAACCTAATCAGCGAGGGGTCCTTTGTCATCCCTATGTGGCTGCTTATGAAAATTTGATATCTTTTCCCAAAGACCTGGTTAATAATATATTTTCTGCTGAATATTCGAAACAAATAGAGTGAGTTGGTACTACATGTACATATGTATACGGTTCTATTTTAAATGACTGCAGCGCTCCATTATGAAAACAATTTGTTTTAACGCCGCTCTCAGCAGTATTCCAGTGATATATGACGGCAGTCTGTTGTATATGAAATATATGCAAATTGAATCTTGAATCTTGAAAGTTGTAACATGTCCGCAAATAAGTATCACATGCAGTATACAGTATATCAACTGCAATATACTGTATACATCAGTATACAGTGTGTCGCGAGCTCTGTGCTGGGCTGGAGCACACATTTCCTACACCTCTCCCTTCGGCAAACACATCACGAGGGTTGCAACGAGGTCACAGGTCAGGCGTGCACTCGTCAGTTGTCTAATACGGTCAAGAGTAAGATCTTCCGGAAGACCACTGCACTGGAGGTATGTGGATTATTGAGGAGGTACTACGTGTTTGGAACTGGGAGTTGAACACTAAGCACTTTTAGAGAAGAGCTCACAATAAAACGTTATGGACTCGCGGACGGACTTGTGTTTTCATTTCAAGACGTACATTTATCAGGTTGAACTTCCTAACTGTAACAATAACTGAACTTTACGCCTTTTATACACATTTGTGATGGGGCGACAATGCGACAACGAGACATATTTTGACCTTGAAAATGTCGCGTTACGGCATCGTCGCCCTTTTGTAAAATAAAGAAAAGGATTATCAAAGAGCGACAATGCGAAAAACGCGACAATGCGACAAATGGCCAATTGTCGCGCTTTTGTTAATTTTGACACGTTTTGCTTGTTTTTGTAAAGGCGTCAATGCGACAATGCGACAACGAGACAATGTCCCTTCCATAGTAATCCGTGCAAATAAAACTGAGTAATGAAATAGAAGTCTGACATGCCAGTTAAAAGATAGAGTGTTGCAGCTTCTGATTTCATAGATCTTCAAGAAGGGTTATCAATAATGGGATGGGTGATGAGTTCAACTGCATACGCTGTGATTAACAATAATGCTCCGAGTCAATACATTTTGTCAAATGTATTACATGTATTACGTGAATGAACATATTGTTTATACTCGTCCATGTTTTTGACGGACAAAATAATTTACATGCTCGGTAAAACTGAGGACGGGCATCATTGTGTGTTTCCGTGCTTTGTTCAGGTGAACAATTGACTTGTCCTTGCATGTTTTGTGACGGGTGCCACTTGTGTGGCAGGATACGCTCACCTTTTCCCGAACACCCATTGGATGACCTGAACCACTTCGGTTTTTATCCCACATCAGTCTGATACACCATGATATAACTGAAATACTGAAATACTGTACAGTTGAAAATGATGTTTAATGCGATTACCGTAGTGTGTTACTGCAACTGTTCATATTTTGTGCAGTGATGTTATGTAATATGTAAAAGAAAGCATATTCAATTATCCAACTGATTTGAATAGAATATACTTGCGTCAGTGTATTTTGTTAACGCCCCAAATCGTAATTTAAACACATAAAATAACAGATCACGCATGGTGCCTTGACTTACTACTAGATTTAATGGGCCACCCCGGAATAAAATAGTTCCCCCCAAAGCGAGGAACATATGTTTTAGTATGTTTACAAGAAATATATTCCAAACAATATCCTCATTAGATGAGAAGATCTTTTGCAGAATTACCTCAGTAAGTCAATTACAATGACAGAGCGTCGTAATACATTTACATCAAGTACAATACGTCAAAATGGCCGACACGATAAACGTGACGGGAGATATTTTCGAAGTTGTTAATTAACCTGTGGCTATTTCAAGCCTTTGGCATCACTGATCAATTGGCCGATCATTGAAAGGTGATTGTGAAGATGTGTCAAATAGATACTAAGGTAAATTCATAGATATCTGTAAATTGTCACTGCGATAGTTTGGATTTTTTTTCGTGTTTTTTTCTCTCTGGGATGGGTTGCAGCGAGGATATCCTTAAATGGGCTTGCAACCACGCTTCTGTATGAATTCGTACCAGGGAATTCCAAGGGTTTTCCCCAGGAATGTGGAAGAATTTAGTGTTTACGCCTTTTCAAGAATACAGTCACGTGAAGAACGTCATGTGACCGACCTCGCGCCCAAGTCGTATATCTTGCAAACTTCACATTAAAAAATTAGTTATTGTTATAACCAAATGAAACACAACCCATTATCCGATAGGGGTAACTGTACATAGCCGTTACAACAATAAACTTAGTAACATTGTTTGGTTTGACTTCTTGGCGCGTGTCTGAATTCCATTAACATGTAACATATCCTAAAACTAGCTTATCAGCAAATCTCGCTGCACTGCGCGCGACAGATACTAGAGCAAGGCATGCAAGAAATACGAAACCTAAAGCTTCCGAAAGGAAGCCTTCGACATCACGTGCGTCGGTGGACCAGCGCCATCTGATTGGCCGTTAACAGTTGTACAAGGCGGAGCAAAAAGCATCGTTTTTCCGTCCATTTTACGCTTGAAAAACTCGACCCTTTTCTGGACACTTTCTAGACGCTGACCAATTAATCAATTTTAATGAATTTTTAGTCGTTTTTCCGTCCAATGACCATATACGGAAAAAAACGACGTTTTCGTGTTTGCAGTGTACCATGGCCTTTCTTTAACAACACAACATCCGTGTTATACCGTGGCCAGCCCTCAGCCCTGATCTGAACCCTATCGAACACTTGTGGGATGAGGTTCAAAGGCGTCTGCAAAATGTGCGCCCAGTCCCTACAACTGCCGATGAACTACGCACAGCTGCTCTGGGTGTGTGCAGGAAGATCCCTAGGGCCTTCACAAATCATCTGATCCACTCAATATCCAGGAGATGTGTGGCAGTGATAAATGCTAATGGTGGTCACACCAGGTATTGACTGACATTTTGAGTATTGACCCGAAACTGTGTAAGCCCTTAGCATTTGAAAAAAAACAAATATGACATCTGCCCTTTAGTCCTTTAAACTGTCTTCAGTCAATATTTTGTCAATCTTGGCCTATTAGTATTTCTTGTCTTTACTGTTGAAAATAAATAACATATATACTGCACACTTGACTTGCGTTTCTTTTGCGTGTGAGTATATTTTCGAAGAGCATTGTTGTATATGTCATGTGAATCAGTCCTCGGGTATTTTGTTTTTAGAAAACACCAGAAATGTCCCTCAGTAAGGAGATCTGGTTTGCATTTGGTCACGTCCAATGTATTACAATTTGTAATTACCTTTTTTCTAGATTCATTTTGGTCAACAAAGGAGTCGGACGATTGAAAACAGATGGACTCTCCTCGACACGGGTCAATACTACGGTATCTCACAGAGGCGTTGTCACGTGGCTTACTGTGTCCATAGATACGAAATACTATGCGAGAACTGTCCATAGATGACATAATCACTACATGTAATTGTAATCAGTGAACAGGATTCAGACTTGATACTGAATACATTCGGGGTTTATACTACATGTCACATTACGCTTCGTGGTTTTGGGGTCTACACTCTCACACTACACCATGTGCCTTTGGAGTCTATTCGGGATGTGACAATAGTCACTACAATGCAATCTTGAATAGTACTATCAACTACAAATACTTCGTTAATAATTGAAAATTGTCTGCCATAATAGTCTGTCTAATTTTGGCATGGCAAGAAAGCAGCAACACTTAAAACGTTTCTATCAACACTAACCGTGCAGATGTTAATTAATTTCTTACAATCTTATAGGACATAGTGTTATGATAGATTTACTTAGATAACCTTAATCAGTTTTACTCATTTCTCAATCATAAACTTTCGGGGACTATACGGGATGTCACACTATACTGTGTACCTTCGGGTCTAAATGGAACACCACATTATACCGTGTACATTTGGGGTCCATACAGGATGTCTCATTACAATGTATGTGCCTTCAGGTGGAAGTTAATGTATATTGTATAACAAAATGGAATTTCTGGCAAGTTATTTCGTATTATCCAGAGTATAATGTAAAATGATGTTACATCAATGGTTAGATTTGATTATGGTAAGAATTGATTGAGTATTTTGATAGTTCGTGTGGGTTAAGACAGGATAGTATTCTTATTCCTGTACTTTTTTCTTTGTTTATCAAAGTTATATCTTTGGTAAGTTGATTCCATGATGGTGTTTGTATTACAGAGGAAACGTTAAATATAAGTGCCCTATTGTTTGCCGTCGGGTTGATACTTGGTGCAGATAGTGTTGTATAATTACAAAAACGCCTTGGTGGATTATATTTATACTTTTATAAATGGGATATGGATATTAATTCTGAGACCAGTAACATTGTTGTTTTTGAAAGGAGAGGCACTTTATCAAAACATGAGAAATAGTTTTATAATGGTAAGCGTATGAAAACTGTTAATGCCTATAAATATTGGGAACGTCTCGTCATTCCGAAATTAATTTGGCCCAAGGCCTATAAAACCTTTATGACAACAAAGCACAAGAAAATTGTTCCAATGTTAATGCAGATCTGGGGAAACGAAAATTGTAAATTTTCTAATAAATTGTATATTTATATACTTATTCTATCTGACACTATGCATTTCTTCTTATTCTTCGATCCTGGTGTTGAAACGTCCTAGAACAAAGTGTCCAGCTTAAAAAAACACCAATCACCCTAACACATCCAATACATCACCAAGTCACCACTGTGATCATGGGTCACACATCACTGCGATCTCGTGTCACACGACCCATGCGACCCGATCACCTGACACATCCGGAACCCTCATTTTCAATCGAGAGCGTATGGTTGGGTGGGCGCTTAGCGTGTGAGATTGGCTAAGTATATTTATATACATTTTATTAGAAAATTTACAATTTTTTAAACTTATCCTATCTCACACTATGCCTCCATGATGGCCGAGAATGTGCAATTACTATGCAACGCAAAGGTGGAAGCCACCGTCCTCGTCTCATGCGGATTAGAGGCAACTGGAAGTGGTAGTCGCGCAAATGTGTAGGCCCTGGGGATGATAGAGTGCAGCCAAAAGGAGATGGTGGTTCGAGATACCTCTGAAGTTGCAGCCGACAATAATGAGATGAAAAGACACTTGCAAGAGCGACGGGAGGTCTGAGATGCCTTCAAGTAGATCTTTAGGGCTCGGACTGGGCAGAGTGAGAGGTCTTCCAGTTCATCAGGTCCTAGTGTCGAAGACAGCGGTGGAAGGGTGAACGATTCAGTTGTCCTGGGAGCTGGTTCTTATCAATAAAGTCACAGCGCAAACCCAGCAAGACTTTACCATGTCGATGACGTATAAAACGAGCTCTACCAACGTCTAAAGCATGAATCTCACAAATACGAGCCGCAGTAGCCAGAGCGAGGAGGAAGACTGTCTTGAACGTAATAAGTTCAAAAGTCTGATCATACTCATGGTTCATACTCGACCGAAGACATGTGACGGAGAATGATATTGAGATCCCGTGCTGGAGGTCTAGATCGGGATGATTGGTCCACAAGGCGGTATGAGAGAATCAATGCCTGAAGCTCCACAACAGAGGAAACCCTAGCCAGTAGTCGTGGCAACGACTGAATTAATAGCTGCCAAGTAGGTAGATAAAATCGAACCCTTCCTGGTAGAGCGCAGATGGAGGTTTTCAGCTATTATCTGAGGAGAAACATTCGCAATCGTCCTTATGGAGGAAGGGCCTGAGGAAGCACTGTTGTGGGCGTAGGTGTAATTGACCCCGCAAGGTGAGGGCTTGTGCCGACGTCAATAGTCTGAGGAGTTCTTGCCACCGTAACGGATGTCTGAGAGTCAATGGTACATGACTCTGTATATTTTCCCATCTGTCTAGGGGTACAAACGTCTTTCCCGCCTGAGTGTCGAAAAGGGCGCCGATAAATTGGAGACGCTGAGTCGGGATCGTCTAACATTAATCAAGCAGACTAGTTGATGAAGTAGCTTCCTTGTAAATTCTAGATGTGTCAACAGCGTCGCTGAGATAGCATGAGCCTGGATACAGTCGTCTATGTACGCCTCGAATTTTTTAATGTGCAGCGCCAGGCAACAAACAAACACATATTTATGCAAATTGTGTGAATGGTGGGTGTTAACGGTAGGTCAGGAAATATTTAACCTTTCCGCTAACACCTGGTGTCATCACTGATTTTCAGTGATCCACACACCGCTATTTTGCCATTTAGGGACCGACTATTGGATATTTGAGGACCGTGTGCGAAATACGCATCAGTCGGAAAGCGCACGTTAAATCTCCAAAGTAAGTAAGTAAGTAAGTAAGATATTTGAGGGGAAAAAATAATTTATTTTTGTTAAATATCTTACAACAATGTATTTTCTTTTTGGATGGTTTGAAAACACCATTATTTTTTTTTCAACAGTCTGAAGCATACTTATTATTTTCAAGCATTTTCGTGGTATAAAAAATAAATTAATGAGATTTCAGTCGAACCCTAAACATAAAAGAAGAATTTACAAATCAATAGCGTGTTTGTCCACCTCTGGTTCTGATGCAAGCAACACATCTTCGTCTCATGGAATGGACCAGGCGTCGCACAAAGTCCTGTGGGATATCTGTCCATATCTGCTGGAGCATGTTTCGAAGTTCCTGGAGTGTCTGTGGAACACGTGGTTGACGTCGAAGGCGCCGATCCATCTCATCCTACATGTGCTCGATTGGTGAGAGATCAGGGGAGACAGCCGGCCAGGGGATGACATCCACGTTGTTTTGTTGAAGAGAATCCTGAACAAGTCGAGCAATATGAGGCCGGGCGTTGTCACGTTGAAAGGTAATGCCTGGGCCATGCCGACGCAAAAACGGTAGAACAACAGGGCTGATGATCTCGTCGCGGTAGCGCAGTCCATTGAGATTTCTCTCTACCACTATCAAACGGGTCCTCTGTCTTGCTGTAATCCCACCCCATACCATAACGCTGCCGCCCCCGAACCGATCTTCTTCCATGACACAATGATTGACGTAACGTTCACCTCAACGTCGGTATACTCGAATCCGTCCATCGCTGTGGCTGAAGTGAAAACGAGACTCGTCAGTGAATAGAACTTGTCCAAATTGCATGGCCGTCCAGCGTAGACGCTGTCTGCACCACTGTAGACGTGCTTGGCGGTGGTTTCCTGTCAAAATGGGACGTCTGGCGGGTCTTCTGGCGATCTGCACAGTACCCTGCACATCTGAGGCGATGACGTACGGTTTGTGAAGATATTCGTCAAAATATATTTTTTAATGAAAATTCTTTGCCTCTGCATAACGTGAGTGACTTCTGTTTTAGGCCACTTTTAGCAATATATCAGCAATACCATGACGGGGAACACCAGAAATGGCCTTCACACGTATCCATTTGGGGAAGTGAGCTCTGGCCTTTGGGTAAACGGATTAACGCTTTTACCCACGAGGGAAGCTTTGTGTGTAAATTAATGGTTGGACTCGCATTAAAGTAAAGTGTTAGAGGCCGCTGAGAAACTGATACTTGTATGATAAAGAATGTCTCCGACAGTGTACACTCTGGTATAGGGCTTGTGGAAATATCATTAAGCAGCCAGACCAAATAAGGGCATTATATTAGGTTAGTTATTATTGATGATATCATTCACAGACCATTCTCAGATCTTAAGTGTGCGAAGAATCAAAAGTATATCGTGAGATAGTATTGTGGATAAATTGATGACTGATAATCATTTATGTAAAAACCTTTTTACAAGGGACTTGTAGTGCAGTTGAGAACTGACTCATTAAAGGTGAATATTCCTGCCCGCAACTAGAGTGAGTGAGTGAGTTGGGTTTAACGCCGCTTTTAACAATATTCCAGTTATATCGCGGCGTGTCAACTTAATGTGGGAGGAAAGCCCGAAGTGATGCAGGTCTCAGACGTTTACCACTTCGGTGAAACCCACGAGAACGTGTATTGTGCTGACAAACCTAGAAACATTATCGGGGCGAACCGGGATTCGAACCTACAATCAAAGGTTTCTGGCGTGCCCAAGGCACTCAACTCTACACAGCGAATCGGCCCGCAACTAGAAACACAGAACTGGTGTATTATGATTACAATAAAGTATTTGAATAAAAGTTATTGAGTGTAAATACTTTTATTATTGCTTCGTTGTTAATTAAATTAGAGATAAACGTAAAAAAGATCACAAGATCACAGAAATCCTCTTAGAAAGATAATGCTCACTCAGTTGTACCTGAAGAAATTGTGTTTGTTTGTTGTTTAACGCCGCAACTCAGCAAGCAATATTCCAGCTATATGACAGCGGTCTGTGCGTAATAGAATCTGGACAAGACAGTCCAATGATTGACATCCTGAGCATCGATCCACGCAATTGGGATACGATGACATGCATCAGCCAAGTCAGCAAGCCTGACCACCCGATCCCGTTAGTCCCCTCTTACGACAAGCGCAGTCGCCTTTTATGGCCAGCATGGGTTACTATTCTACCCCGGATCTTCACGGGTCGAAAGAAATTGTGAAATGAAGACAACGATATATTGAGGTTAGAATAATCTAGACGCAGTAACGAACTATCCACACCTCAAAAATATTGTTTAAATTTTACTTAATTAACTCGGGACAAATAATACGTAATTCCTTGTATGCGTAGTTTGTGGGTTTTACGTGTGTTATGTCGCGTTTTTATTGAAATTTTGTGGAGCTCTTACTTGCAGCTGGAATCAATACCACAACTAGTTTTTCGTTAAGTAAGAGTAAATCAATTGCATCCGTTTCGACTGTCATTACAGTGCAGGTAAATCATAAATATGTAATGGAATGGCAGTAAGTGAGTGAGTTGGGTTTAACGCCGCTTTTAACAGTATTCCAGTTATAACACGGCGTGTCAGCTTAATGTGGAACGAAAGCCCGAAGAGATGCAGGTCTCAAACGTTTACCACTTCGGTGAAACCCACGAGCACGGGTATGGTGCTCAAAAACCTAGAAACATAATCGGGGCGAACCGGGATTCGAACCTACAATCATAGGTCTGGCGTGCCTTAGGGACAAAATTCTGCACAGCGAATCGCGGCGCCCTAGACGACTAGGCCACACGTGCCCCCGGAAAGGCTGTGAAGTAGATACATCAATTTGCCAGGAATAATGAATACAATCTGTCCATATATTGAACGTGTCGTGATGATTACAAACGAAACCTGTTTATACTGTGGCCGATGTAGTTTTGCATATATTTGTTTTAATTTCATTTTAGATGTTTTAACATATATTTATTTTACATAACTATAACGAAGTATATCTGACCTGTTTTACCTTCTAATTTCCCCATGGCCAGAAGCTTCATATGCTGATTGGTCAAGCTAACACCTATTGTTAAACTGCATTCTTTTGATTACACTGCATACTCTCTCAGCACATGAACTGACAGAACTGCTCAGACCAGCAAAGGATAAAGAGATAATATTGAATCAGGTGAGTTAAATGGTTATAATCTCTATCTTATGTTGTATTGAAATAATACTGTATGTTTAAAGTGTTATATTAAGCAAACTACATGTATGTTATCTAATATAAATGTTGATTATGTCTAATTATTTA